ATGGATCACGGCTTCGTAGGGACCAGATGGCGAGGCAGAGGACATGGTTGGTCTTGGACGAACTTGGAGTGCTACCAAGTGTAAGCGGGCGCAGAGGAAGGTGCGGCAGACTTGGTAAAGTGGAGAATGAATTAGCAGCGTTAATCCTATCTAACGCTACAGCTATGGCACGCAAGCCAGTCATTTGAGGGGGCTTGCAAGCATGCAGTAATGTTGAAGTGGGCAAGTTCGCCAAGGAGTGTTGGCGAACGTCGATGTCGAAATATCCGGATGTGTCCGGATAGTGTAACCCGGTTTCACGATGTGCCCCTGACGCTCGAGCTGGGGATGCCCCCCATGCCTAGCGACGGCAAGGTGTCGTCGTATGTGGCAAACGTGCGTCGGCGCATTTGGGAGATGGCGGGTAGCCGCGACGGCGTCCGCGCGATCCAAAGCGTAGTCCGCCAGACCCTGCACAATTTTTCCAACCGTCGAACCAACTCGGGGCGTTCGCGGACTTCGACGTGGTCCACGCGACGCTGCACCAGCTCGACGTCGTCAACAAAATGTGCGCGAACATGACGTCCTGGACCAACCCGGTCGTCCTGAAAGCGGCAATCCATCGATATGACGAGTTCATCTCGTCCGCGTCAAAAATGGCGCCGGGAATCACCTTGGTGTCCCAACCACAGACATCAACGTCGTCTGGCACACGCACCCGACCTTCCCCATGGACTACGCGACCTTTTGCCCGCAAGTCGGCCCATACACTCGTCGACCACGATGACACGATCGGCAACGGCGACTTGCGCGCGAGCTATGCCGACACGTCGCAAGTGTTTGGCGAACCGTACTCGTCGTACCCGCCCAACTAAAATGCGTGCAAGAAATATGATCTGGGCCATCACGTATTCAAATCGACGTGTGGCGCCAGCACTCGCGCATCCCTTCGGTCGACGGCCGCTTCATTGATGTGATTGATGCCGACCCCCGCCGTTGAGCCCGACGCCGCCGCGATTGAACGGGCCATGCAACCCTTGCCGGGCATCGTGCCAGTCGCTGCGATCGGGACGCCCGTCATGGACGGCCGCTTGCGATTGCAATATTCCAGGCAAAACTACCTGATGGAGGATGCGGGTGTTGGTTCATTTGTCCACTTTGACGCGACTGACCTATACAGCTGTGGATTCAAGAACACGAGCACGAACATTGGCTGCGCAAGCAGCACCACTGGAGGGTGTGGCATTCTTGAAGGCGGATGTGGCGCCAGCGGCTCACCTAGTTGTGCGTGCAGCATCGGCGGGGGTGCGGCTGTGGATCGAGCAACAGCGAAGGTGGTGGAGGACGTTGCGAAAGTAGTTCCTCGACTGGTTAGCATTCAACGCAGGTGCTGCCATGATTGATTGCTCTTGTGCTACCGGTAGCTGTCCTTGGGCATGGTCAGAACTGCTGGGTGAACCGTTGTTCCATGCAAGTGTTGGGCTTCCGCATGCGAACCATCACGAACAGGCCAGGACATCGCCCATGACCAAGTGCCATCGCCGTCCGTGCTCGGCCCGTGAACTTCCTGCCGCCCGCCATGCCACACAGTGCACTGCCTGGTGGGGAGAGGCATGTGCTAGGTCTTGTCAACATCGGGGAGGTAAAAGTCCCACGTTTTACTAACGGGGACATCGGGGGGGCCACGTGCAATTTGCAGGGCATGGATCTTGCGGTCGTCTTTGCGAGTTTTGGGGGACTGGGGCGGGCCATCGCGTGCTGCACCGCGAGGAGGCGATGGACACCGTAAGTGGGTCGGACACAATGACGCTGGAGACGTCGACGATGCTTTGGTCGGCGAGGACGCCCCGACTTGGGGCAGTCGAACGGCCCGGCACTCTAACGACAGCTTGGTCGGGCTTGTTCGGCCATCTCGTAGCACGAGAGGGCGAGATGCATGTGTGTGAATCGGGCCGTCTTTGCCTTTCGATGGGGAAAACAACATGGACGGACGTTGTCGGTGCAGATCGTCGCTGAAGTGGTTTGTGGTAGCTGACGTCGTAGGGGTGCTCTCGAGGAGCGTCTGGTAGCCTGTGCGTGGAACGGCTTGCGGAAAAGGCGGCTGGGGCTGCGGTATCATGCGATGTAGGGCGAGGGACCGAAACGGGCGGTGGTTCATGGCCTTACAGGCCTCTTCGGACGGAAGTGCGTGAGGAGTCCCGGCCGTGTCGACCAAGTGCCACTCCCCATGCTCGTCAAAGTGCAGTCGACTCGCCTAGCCATCGAATGAACACTCCATTCTGTCGGGGCAGACGCTGCGTGGGGATCGCCCCTGTACCTTGAACGGGGCGGCCCACGCGTGCTCCTGCCACACGCGCCCGACGAGCGTCGTGAAAAAGTCGTGCCGGGCCCATGTCACGTAGTCTTCATGGATTTCGTAGAGGTCGTGAAAGGCCACTTCGATCCATCTGCCTGCATTATCAAGTCCTTCCAGCATTCCTTTGTTGCGACTGATCGACGTCAGCGTCACCACGTCGATGAGGGTCCCGTGGATATCGTGGCGCATCCAAACGTCATCGACGGCGGGCGGGCCGCGGGTTGTGAGGCCGTTCACCTCGCGCTTGTACGTGTCGATGGCCTTGGTGTGGCCCTACACTGGCCAATCGTACCGTGCACATGAAATTGGAGCGCTTACCACCGCGGCTTCCACGACCATGCACGCATTCCCGGACACGGCGCCGCGAGGCGGGGCCTTGGTCGCGACGGACACCGCATCGTGAATCCGCCACGTCGTGCTTCCAAACGAACCGACCAGGGCGCCGGCTAACGTCCACAACTTGATCGAGAGATGACTTGCCGTGACCACGAACGTGTCTGCAATGCTCGACGACTCGATATACTCCATCGCGGTGATCTCGTGCTCCGACTCGTACGCTTTCCATCGATGGAGCTGCCGCAAACTCATCGACGGTTCCTGTACGGGGTCGCTTGTTTGAAACACCACAACGACTCCACATGACAGCGCCACGAGCAGGAGGATGCCGTCCGTGTCAACTTTGGTCAGGCGGACGTCTGCATGCAAAATCGGGGCGAGATCCACGGTGGCGTGCAGCAAGCTGAAGCGGGGATTAATCCACAGCACAGATGCACAGCTTGTCACGACCACGAGAAGGCCGAGTTTCCGCGGGTACAACAGCGCTTCAATGCCTACAGCATCGTTGGTCGTGGTGGCGGTGCATGTAGGTGTGCTGGCACGTACTGGCGGTTAGCGGGAACTTGGCGACCACATCCCCCGAATTGAACCCCCACAGGATGACTAACGTGCGACTACACATGAATGGCGGACGTTCGTCGACGTACAGATGGAACGCACCGCAGCCATCCATTCCACCCGTCGCGATGAACTTTTGTGCGCAAAATGCCATGGTCAGGATGTCGTCGGTGTGGCCGACGGAGAGATCCTCTGGCATACGCATCACGTAGTCTTGGTCCGAGCTATCGTGCCAAACGTAAACCCGGCGGTCCCACCCCACGCTGAGGATGTACTTCGCCTGGGTAAACCCACGTCCGCTCGAATGCGCCACGGACACGGTGATGAGCGCAACGCCCGTGACTTCGTTGGCCTTGGGTGCGGGTTTTCTCGCTCGGGCGGGCTGTGTGTGCAACGTGGGAACCGCTCGTGCACCCATGGGTGCATGATGCATCCAAGAAGGTCGCGTCGGACGGTCGGTAGTTCCCGAGTCTTCGTGCGTGTGGCGGCGCTTGGACAGGGTGGCAAGTCGGCTACCGTTGCTAAAATTCCACAACGTGACTTGGGTCCCGACATTACTTCCTGTGATGAGTCGTCGGCCTGTGTCGTCCAGGGCCTACGAACCAACCATTTCAACCACGGGCAAGCCACGAGTCATCTACCGCGGCCGTGATGGACGTATTGGCCATGAAGAAGTGCGATATCACGCTCCCGTCCAAGACGTTCCAGAGTACAATGCGACCATCCGAGTCCATAGTCACAAGCTGTTGGAAAGACGGGTTGAACATCGCCTTGATGACGGCGGCTTCGTGCGGCTGGAGCGTGTCCGACGGGACGGCCGCGTGGTGCATGGGCCATGGCGTGATCGTGTTGGAGAACGTGAGCAGGTGCTTGGACGCCACGTCAAAGTAAATCAGCTTGCAGTGCTGGTTGCCGTGCGTGGGGTCGCGCATCACTTGGAGGCACTTGAGCTGTCGCACGTCCCATACGCGAACTAGTGCAGTGGTCAGTTTAGTGGGCACGACCGCCGACACGTACTCGTGCCATCGTCCAGGCCCAAGCTAATCAAGTTTTGGCCCTCTTCGTTCCACACGACCGACTTGATCGAGCAGCTGTGGCCCCGCAACCGTCCGAGCAAGCTGTCCGAGAACGGACTCCACAGCAAGATTTCCCGCTCCACCCCGCAGCTCGCAAAGAACTTGGGCCGTGGACACCACACAAAGTCGTACACAGCACCGCGATGCAAGGCAAAGTGCCGTTTGAGCACGCCGCGATGCACGTCCACCACCTACGAAAACGGATGGTCACCCGTTGTTCGGGACACTCCCGACAATCGTTTGGAGCACCTTGACCGACCCATCACGCGACGATGACACGACGCTGTTCAAGTCTGCAACGAAAGCTAGCCGCGTCACGTGGTCCGTGTGCCGCTCCTTTCGTGTGATGTCGGTGCTTTGGATGGTCACTGTGTCGTGCTCGGGGCAGTCGCCATCGCACATGTGCCAGGTCGCGCCGAGGCAGATCTTTGTGACGCCGCCAACGTCGTCCCCGACGTAAAGCACGTCCAGGCCGGTGTCGTCGTCCAGCATGGTGCAGAGGGCGAGGGGTGTCGAGTGGTTGAGGGAGCCTGTCGGCACGTGCGACTGCGGCGACTTGTCCGCAGACACGAGGTCAAAGAACTGGACGCCGCCATGCAGCGACGCGAGGGCGACTTTGCCGCTCGATTGGAGGTATGCCATGGCCGTGACGCAGTTGGTTCTGTGGTCCTGGAGCGCCCGAAAGGACGACAGCTCTGCCCACGTCGCGCTCCACGTCTTGATCATTCCGTCGACCGTCGAACTGACGAAATGGCCGGTGCCAAGTGGCTGGAATGCAACCAGGACATCTCGGACGCGCGGTTGGCATGGAGACGGTGCTTGTGCGGCCGCAGTCTATGCCATACGAAACGACGCTATACATAAGTGCATGGGTCGGAATCGTCGAGGCGGGATGGGGACAAGGAAGGCTCGTCACCGAGGAAATGGGATGGTCCGTACCACGTCGTCGGTTGGCACAAACGCGACGCTGGCGAGCTGGGCCGCAGCGTCGTGTGCAGACTGCGAATGAACAAACATAAAGTTCGTAAACTCGTCCCAGTCGACGGACCCGTCCGAGTTGGCGTCGATTTTCATAAAGAGCTGGGAGATCTGGGTCGAGCTCCACGAGTTGGTCTCGAGAATCGACCGAAAGTGGCCGACGAATTGCTTTTCGTTGAGAGCGCCGCGCTGTTGGAACACGCGATGGAGCTTCATGAGTTCGCTCAGTTTGAACATCGAATCGTGCAAGTGGGCCGTCCGGACGACGACGGCGGCAAACCCGTGGAACGGCTCTCCCGCAACTCGGCATGGACCCGCCGGTTCGTTGTCATGGTTCGTGGCCATGCGGACGCCACGCCGACGACGTAACGACCGAGAATGAAACCGGCGGCGACCGTAACCGTTACAAAGCCCATCAGCGGTTCACCATTCCGTTGATGCGCCAGGTTGTACATCCTGCTACGCCTTTCAGACGCTTGTAGCTCCCTGCCTTTGCTCTTCTGAGTGCTCTCCAGCAGCGGAGCACGCTGCAAGCAGCGACGACGGGCATGCGGCTATGTGTGTCCTCCACTTGCAACATTCCAAAGCAAAACCAGCACTCCGTTTTAGCGCTGTTCAGTTGGAGGAATCGCAGCCATCGGTACAACGTGAGGCACGGCGTCGTCATGGGCACCGTCTCTCGTGTCGTCGGGGGAGTTGCCGCCGATCGGGTCGAACAGGCACCGGCACGAGCTACACATCCCAGGCAAGGCGGTCCCCGTCGTCGCCATGGCCACGAGTGTGAACACGACCATCAGAAACACAAGCATGTCCGTGTAAAAGAACACAGTGCCTTGCATGTACTCGTCGGGCGACAGGCGCTTGCAAATGTACGACACGTCGCAGGCAAACCACGTCGTCATCAGCACGACAAACGCGAGAACGAGGACAAACTCGAGGGGCGTCATGAGCATGTCTTGGAAGATCCCGTACGCGACCGCCAACGGGACCGCCGCGACGACAAATGCGCCTGCCCCGGCTACGCGGATTGGCACGAGCTCGCGTGCACGCCCCATGAACAACGCGCCCGACTTGGCGGTGGAGAACTCCATGAGCAGCAATACGACCAGCAGGGACGCGTAGCAAGCGACGCATCCGGCGTACGTGTCGAATTGAATGCCGATCGCCGTGACCAACACGGCTTGGCACGTTGAAAAGATCGCAAACACAATGTAGTTGACAGGGTACGAGTACTTGACGGCGTGAAGGACAACGAGACCAGCCACGAACGCGGCAAGGAGCACGACGGCGGCGTAGTCTTCTTGGAGCCATGTCCACAGCCCACGCTGTACCGTCGGTGCAAATGTCAAAATCGAGGTTGTCATCGAAACATACAACAACTGGACGGCCAGCAGCCCAAACACCTTCATCCGAAACCCGCGCTGGATGTCGGGGGGCAAATTCGCGATAGCAAACGGGTCGTCGATCGGGTTATCGCCCGTACGAAGGGTTGTCATGTCAAAGTGCGCTCGCGACGTTCGCACCCGGCTCGAGGTGTCGCAGTGTCCTTGCAGCTGGCGCTGGAGATGGATCACGCTGTTTCGGGCCTCGGGCTTGGCAGTCACAAAGGTCGTGTTGGCCGCGACACTGCCGCGGCGCGTGGCCTGGCTCTGCTCGTTGCAAGTGTTGACGATCGCGCGAATGTCGGTGGTCACATTGGGATGCAGCATGACAATTGATACGTGTTCGAGCTGCACCAGTTCGCTTGAGGGAGGCCCTGGAAGCGGGCGATCGAGGGCATTCGACGACAAGACAACGTCGGTGCGCCGAGGCTCTGCAGGGGACGCTGCGACCTCGACCATATCTTGCAGCGAGGCTTCAGGATGCATGCCTCCGCTTGCAAAAATAGACACAGCAGCGGCCGGGGACGGCCGCTGCCTTGAAACTCCCCACATGACTGACACCTTTCGAGGTCGCAGCTTCGCTGCCTGACCACAGCTTGGTTGTACGCGGCGTGCCCCCAGCCTCAACCTCACTTGGTCCGTCGGGGGACGGTGACAGTGCCCGGGAGCACATCTCCAGGAGCATGTCATCGGTGCATCCTCGATGGGAGATGATTGCCCGGGAGAAGTACGTGTGTAATCGAGATCGTAGGCCGTTGCGATTGCAAAACGTGACATGGTGTACTCTGCTGGGGGTG